ATAACTGTTCTCAACCTGCTGGCCACACTCTTCCTGATGCATCCCAGGATACTATGGGCCTTCTTGGCCACAAGAGCACATGTTTAACTTCTTGTCTGCCAGGACCCCCATGTCCTCCTCCGCAAAGTTCTTTCCAGCAGGTCAACCCCTAACCTTTGCTGGGCTGTGGTGTTCCTCTCCCTAGGTGCAGCACCATGCACTTGTCTTTGTTGAACTTTGCTATGTTCCTCTCCACCCAACTCTCTAGCTTGTCCATGTCTCACTGAATGGCAGCATAGCATTCTGGTGTATCAGCCACTCCACACAGTTTTGCATCCTCAGCAAACTTGTTGAGGGTACATTCTGTCCCTTCATCCAGGTCATTGATGAATGAATTGATAAAGACTGGAAACAGTACTGACCACTGGGGAACACTGCTACCTTCAAGCCTCCAGCTAGACCCTGTGTTGCTTATCACAACTCTCTGAGCTCTGCCATTCAGCCATTCTCAATCTGCCTCACTGCCCAGTCATCTAACTTGCACTTCCCGAGATTACCCTACAAGGAAGTTATAGGACACAGTGTCAAAAGCCCTGCTGAAGTCAATATAGGTAACATCCACTGCTCTCTGCTCATTTACCCAGCCAGTCATTCCATCAGAGAAGTCTATCAGATTGGTCAAGCATGATTTTCTCTAGGTGAATCCATGTTGATTACTCCTGATAACCTTCTTTTCCTCCACATGCTTAGAAATGACATCCAGGATGAGCTGTTCCATCACCTTTCTAGAGACAGAGGCTGACTGGGCTGCAGTTTCTTGGGTCATCATTCTTGCCCTTTATGAAGACTGGAGTGACACTGGTTTTCCTCCAGTCCTCAAGCACCTCTCCCATCCTCCATGACTATGAGAATAATCCTATTTCTTAAAATGGACAGGACAGTAGATTCTTTCCTCATCCCATCCACCAAAGCTGTTCGGCTGCAAAAACGTTGCAGGGAAAAAAAGTCAGCTAGCAGAAGACATTTCTTCACGTGGATTGCTTCCCTGCAAATACTATAAAAGGCAGCAAAACTGGCCATTAGATGGAGACAGTCTGTGCCATGGTGGGTGCTCCTCTCCATTCTGCGCGCTATAGCAAATCTTCACAACAAGGAGACAAATGTCTTGAAGTGGTAATAATGGAAGCATTTACTCTGCTCCTTCTGCAATCTTTTGCAAAGAAAATGTTTTCTACTCAAATGTCCAGTGTACCTTCTAAGACATTTAGATAACCTACCTTCCCTTGAAACTATGGTAGGTGTCATGGCCATATTTGCAGACTACTATTTGCAGAGGTAATGAGTTGCGGGCCTATCTCACTAGAGAAGCTCTGAGCTTGGCTGAAAGCAAGCCTTTTGTGATTCCCATTCTCACAAAGCCACATAATGGTAGAGAACTGTGATCCAAAAGCTAAGCTTTCATTAAAGCCAAAATAAAACTCATATATAAATAGAATATGAACCAGGTCATTCTTGCCAATCAGAATTTGCAGACAGTCTGAAATAATAGCTCTGGGCAATATATAAACTGTTCCTATTCTTCTCAATGTGGTGCTAACTAGGAAATCTAATTATCACAATTTAAATGTCAGTATCATTAAATATTTTGCTACTGAATACTCTAACAGAAACATCCAGCTAACGTACTCTTATTACATTCTCAAAACACCTCCCAGATTTTTCAGTGTGTGCCAGATGGGCCACGTGACCTCTGCCCAGTCATCAAACTCTCTAGATTCCTCCCCAAAATCCCTAGGCTACAAGGTAATTCAGCATTGTCAGTCTAACAGGCTGGGATACACCTTGAAAATAAACAATTTGGGAGAAGATAAATAAAATTTAGTTAAAACATGCTTTGCAGGTAACACTCATTTAATTCAATATAATACTGATTCTAATATCCATTTTTATATGCAGTTCGATACAGTAACATGTTCATGATTGCATTTATCTGGATCTGCCATGGCATTTCAGACAGTTTCCTTCCAGGTTTTTTAGGAGCTGGTAAAAAAGATGTTGGCTAAAAAAATAATGCAACACATAAAAGTAAATTTTTATCAGAAAGAAATAGCAGACGTTTGCTGCAAGTTTCTCAGTACAAACGCCTTTCACTTATTGTTGCATATGCTGTGACAGGGGCTGTATTTCACCTTCAGCAAATGACTGTTAAAAACTAGCAAATGAACTCCTGATTTATTTCACCATCCAACCAAAGTGGGTTGTTGTGATTTTTTTTTCCCATTGACGCTCAGAGGCTTTTCTTGAAACACTTGAATCAATTCTTTGCTCCAAATAAAAAATGAATTTTTAGGCTTACTTGTGATCAGAAGCAATAATAAATTATATCCTTTCAGGTACTGATATATATATTGAAAATTGCATTGAATAATCTTCCAGAAGGCAGTCTGACATGGAGGACTCTAGTAACCAAAGACCTGCTTCTTATTTTTATCTTTGATGTCAGTTGTTGGCCATAGGCAAAGCCATGAAGAAAGCCTGAAGAATAAGTTGCGTTCCTTATTATTTGCAACTTAAGTAAAGGCAAGCTTAAGAATACGAGATGGGCAGCTAGAGAATAGACTAACAAACAGAAGGCCTGATGTCCATCAAAAGACAAGCAGAAGTTAACAGATAGGCGGAAAAAATGTTGTGGGTAGGGGCATAGGAAGAGTAGGAATATATAATAAAGATACATGGCATGAACAGAGCTCATGGAGCATTCAATGACCTAGAGGGTGTGTCTCAGGATTGAATAAAAATAGCAATCACAAAATAGACACTCTATGTATGAAATAAAAAAAAAAAAAAAAAGAAGTGTAAGAGACAGGTTTATGTAAAAATGCCATTGTATCACTGAGCTGCTGAATAGTTGGATTCCCCTGCAGTCTCTGTGGCTGGTAATGCACAACATGGGGGTTTCTGTTTGCTGCAGTGCCCAAAGGGTGGCCTATGCACAGCAGGTCCTGTGCCAACACAAGTCTTGCAGCTGGGGTAAGGTCAGCTCCCAGACGGCTCCTGAACATGCCAGTGGACAGTGGGTGAACAGTTCTATCCATGACACTAGCAGACCTCAGCCCCAGACACCTCTGATGTTAATAGTGGTCAATAGGAGAGGCAGATCTAGAAGGATGAGCCAAAGCTGTTTAAGGAAGAGCACAGACACCTAACTTTGGATGCTGGCACAGAAAGGTGACCAAATTCAGAACTGCAGCTCTAAGAATGTGCAGTGTGCCCATCCCCATGGAGCCACCAGAGAGCATTGCAAGTTATCACATCTATAAAAAAAAAAAGATACCTTATAAAATTTATCTTTAAAAATCATGGGTTTGAGGTAAGACTTAAGGAACTCCAGGAGCTCCAGGAGCTTCAGGAGCTAGAGTTATGGCACTGAAGACCTCAGAAAGACTGTATCTGAATTCCTGATGACAAAACACATTTAATGTTACTGTCACTGTGCATGCTACAGAAGTAGGGGCAGTCAATGGCACTTTGAGACTGATTCTCCGGTGTCTCTTGCATCAGATGTATAAACATCTGCCCCAGGAACTACACAGATGGTACAAACTGAGCAACTATATCCACAAACTATGGCTTTATTTCCAGATGTGCAAGTGAGATCCATCTTACAAAAATGTCTCCCTGATGATGTCATCTTGGACAGGAAGACAAATGAGAGCTTTTTGTGTCAAAGCAGAAGTACTTACCACAGTCTGTTTCTTATTTAGATTATATCACTGCTGTCAAAATCAAACTGAATACTTTGCAGTTTTAGATCAGGAAACACAAGTTTCTTCTCAGAATCATCTCTAGGTGAGATTAAAATTCAAACTGTAGTTCCCTTTAAAATGGAGGCCAGTACAGTCTGTGTAGTTGTGCCAAACTTTTCCTGCTTGCCAATTTGTTTGAAACAGGGAAAGCATAGTTTGGACGAGTACTCACTGTGCACTCAAAATAGATCCTAGTTGTGCTTTTGGAAACAACTAATCAATGAGCACTTTAATACAGAGACTTTATTTCCCATCAGTGTCATCCCTCCATATAGCTGGCATACTGCACTTCAAAACTTCTCTCATTAGGTACTCCACAGAGGCCCTTTATTCACTCAGGCTTATCAGCTCAAAACGCACTTGTCTTGTTTTACTGTCTCCTAACCGAAAAGTACAGTGTGGGCTACTGCTTGTTTTAGACTGCTTCCAAGGGCTAATTGAGAGCTCTTTGGATGCACCTTTGCCATCACTTTTGGAATGATAAGTCAGTGAAAAAAAGTGGTTTTTGATAGCCAGGCCACAGAGACCAAAGATCCTGGAGTCTGCCGGCTTGGTGAGGAGCCATATAAGAACAATTCAGATGGAGGACAGCACTGGGTTTGTAATGGTATTTTGTTCTTGCTCTGCCTTCTCATCTCTTTCCAGTCTGCTAGTGCTCAGAGCAGAGAGTGTGTGTGGTCTCTCTGCAGCCATCCAGAAGGAGAGAATTAGTGGTCTTCTTCATGACATGATTAAAGAAAAAACAGTCTTGTAAAATAAATACAAATTTACTGGGATATGAACATTGTCACTGGAAATAAAAACAAAACTCGAATTTTAAATTAGTTTTTAAAAATCTACCTCTCCATAGATGAAAAAAAAGACCAGAAAATTGACCAGATATTCTGTAGAGGGTCAGATCTGTTTCGCATAAGTTTCTTAAGGCTCTCCGGGGAAGAAAAGTCCCCGGAGGTGAGGGGAATCTTAGCTCCCAAAACAAGTCTGTGGCAGGGCTTGGAGGTATCTGTGAGTCTCACAAGATGGTGCTGGCTGGGAATAGAGTATTTCCAAGTAAGCAATGCTTTATTGTGTGCCATGCTGCAAATACTTTTGCTGTTCTGATCTTACCAGACTGTAAACCATTCTCTTTTCTACTCCTGGGGGATCTCGCAAAGGAGAATTATAAACAAACAAACTAAACCCTTTTCTTTGTTCCTGTGTCCTCTGATTCTTCAGTGAAGCTCTCCTTTGAAGAAGATGCCTGAACTGCACCTGAATGGGTAAGCTGAGCTGAATAAATACATTTTGATGATTTGGAATTTCAGAAGTCCACAGAAGCATAAAGTACATTGCTATAGATCCACCAAGCATTTGAAAACTATATTCAAGGCTCTCAGTGCTGCTGATATTTGACCTATCATAAAAGTAATATATTTGGCATCATCCTTTCCAGAAAGAAAACAAGCTAATGGCTTATTATTTGATAAGTGTTTTCAATGGAAACATTCCTCATTCTCGAATAATGTTTTCATCCATAAAAAGTATCAAATCAATGGGAGAGGTCTTTGCTAAAGTGAAAAAAAAAGGATCTTTTTGAAAAGTCCTTTGCTTAGCTTAAATATCTTGCATAAGCAATATGATGATGTGTCTACTTTCAAAACTATTTTCATTGAAAGTATAAGAAAACTTTAAACAAGAAAGTATTTGTTACTTGGTTTTGCTCTAATACAGTATTTCTTCCTGCAAATGATCTGTTAATTGAAAAACACAAAATGAATGTGCTCTTTCTTCCACCTGTGTATGTCGTAATTTTGCTTTATTCAGCAACTTTGAAAGGTATTTCTTTTATTGCTCAATTTTCTTTCTTTCCAATTGAATGCAAAATACACACTTAAAAAAATTGCTTAGTTGTAGAAATTAGAGGAGTTAGGGTGGTTACCGAAAGGAGTGAAAAATGCTGGCCAGAAAGCTCCTGATGCATACTTCCCCCTCTTAGGTAACAGCCTGGAAGCTAAAGCCACTCTGAGATAATTGTAGGCAGCTCTAGAATTACCCCCAGGCCAAGAGGACTCCAAAGTGCAGTGCAACGGGGCCATTTGCAAGAGTTCGATTGATTGAGGTAGACTTCAGTAAAGGTAAATGCAAATGACTGCAAAGATGAGCTGTTTCAATGACTGTTAGACTTGGAAGCAAGTTTGAGTGTCAAAAACCTTGTGTTTGTGTTTACCATCAGTACAAATGTTCACTGGAGGAAATTTTTATAGATCCATCATTCTTCACTAAATATTGCAAACAATTGATAGAAAGCAATTTTAGAAAAATCAGTAGCATCATTTGCAACAGCTTGTTAACATAAGGAACAGAAACCTATCAGGTAGCTCACAGTATTTACTTAAACTGCTAATAAAGAGAATTCAGATGTATTTTCTTCATTTTATAAGTTCATTTTTGTTTAATAACTGTGCTATTTTATTATATGTTTTATAAGGTGGAATTAGTCTAAACTAGTGGGAATGGCCCTATTTCTATTTAGAAAAAAATTAAGATTGGTAAGAACCAATCACAGTTGCCATCCTGGTAAGACTTACTCGGATGCACTGTTTGCTTATTAACCAGAGAAGACAGAGTTTTCTATTTTGCTGGAAGCACACACTGTGTTAGGAAACATTCCTTATCTCTCTATGTCCAAAATATTTATGTGGGAACCTAGAAACATTCCTACCTGTTACACTCATGCAGGAGATGGCTTGAAGTCTGCAGAATGCATTTGGATGTGCCAAGTAGTTCCTGCAACTCTTAAATCCGAAAGGGTTTTATCCAAACCAAACTGCAGACATCCAAACTCATGTCTCACAGCCTAGAGGTTTTAGAATTTTCCACAGGATTAATTATTTATTGGGACCTTGCTTGGGCCTGGGGTACAGTAAGGGAAATTGCATTTGAGTCTGTCAGCATGATATCCTCTCTCAAGTCTGAGCTTGGCCATCAGTATCTGTATCAGCTGCATCAGTCAGTCACAGACTGGAACAAAATTTGAAATACATTTTAGGAGCAATTGCTGACGGTTTCCTGCCTATAAGCAAGATAAAACATTATATATACAGTACTAAGGCACCTTTTTCCTTCTAGAATGGTAAAATTTTCTAGATCAAAATACAGTTGAAATGAGGAGTAGATAAAAATGGATAGTAAACTATCCTAGTTTATCACATTGTCTTTTGAGAGCATTTGCTATAGGTAAGTTTGTAGGACTGAGGTTATAAATCTAGGATTTTAATTACAGAATTCTGAAGTTAAGAATATTGAGTATATGCTGTCAAATATTTAATTTTGAGTCATTCGCCCCCTGTTAATAGATGGAATGATTTTGCCAATGAATGCTATTGATTTTTTTTTTCCCATTTCACAGGTCAGTCAAAAGTACTTTCATTTTTTGAAAAAAAAAACATTTCTGCAACAACAAAATCTATTTGAGAGTTGAACTTGTACTGTTACTTCTACAGCATCCTTGTTATTTCATGGTAAAGTTAAAGTTCCACCAAATTTACTCCCTGTAATAGTGACTTACTTTACAAAGTAATGAATAAAACATTATGCAATTCCTACAAACATCTGGTTTCAATGTAGAATGTCTTAATTCAATAGAAATTGAAAGTTTCCACATAAGACTTGGGAAAAGGTATCCTATTTAGGATGGAGCAATCCATAGTATCACAAATCCATCTTCATTGTGAGAAAAAGTTCCTCAAGACTGTCGTGCTGATTGAACTGTATCTTAGCCTTTATCTTTCGTCACAATAAAATTTGATAGTCAATATACATTAGCTGTTTTCCTTCTGTCTTATTATAAATCTGAATTAAAATCTCAAATCCTGCTCCAGTATCCTGCCTTATTGTAGCCATGAAATTTAGCCAATAATGTTCTAATTCAGGGAAGCACTTAATGGTTACATTTAAAAGTAATTTTGTTCTTTTAGATGTTTTACTAAGCACGATGCTAGAGGACTAAAGCTGCATACAGTGTTATCAAAAGAATGTAAAACATTTAAAATCAGTTTTGTAAATAACATAAAAATGCTAATTTTTCTCTTATTCTCAAGCTAAAAGGTCATGGCGTAAATGCTAAGCGACAAGTTTGACTGCAAGATTAATTTTGAAGGCACAGTACATCCTCTGAACTCGCACAGCCACAGGCTTATCAGAGAAATGGTAACACATAAAACACATGGTTGACCTTCTTTCCAAACTGCTGAGCACACTTCTAAGGCTTTATATTTTACTGCATGGGTGTGAGGCTCTGCTCTCTGCTGGGGCAGATCATGGGGGCCCCACTGAAATCAGTACCATACACCCCTTCACACTACCCACGACTCTAGTGTACATCATGTATGGCATAGTCTTGGCAGGCCTACTTGAAAGCAGCTCAGAAAGATTTTTAGCATCTAAGTTTGTTTCTGAAAAACAGGCTGATAAAATGAGTCTTAACCACTGCAAGCAAGACAGCCTGCTGGATTACATGTGTAAGGTACAGCATAGTGGAACAAAATGCTATGAATAATTCACAGAAAAAGTTGTGGCTCTCACTAAAATAAAAAAATATATGGAAATATATATTCATTTTTCTTCTTTAAAGACTTTATATATTCTTTAGTCTTTATACAAGTAACACTTCAAAGTTGGAATACAAGAGAATCTTCCTGCTTTCTTAATATCCCAGGTTACAACCCTGCTGCTCTTTATATGCTGTTACCAGTTGCCTCACTAAAGTGATGACCGTAAGTGGTGACTTCCAGTCTCACTCATAAAACACACACTATTTACAGGTAGGGTTTTGCAGTGTGGTTAGATTTTTCTAAGTGAGTCTCCACATTAATGTTGAAGCCAGAAATGATAAGTAAAGCTAATAGCTGTCTTCTGTTAGGCCAAGTTTGAAAAGTGGACAGGCTGTATCCTTTGCTTTCAGATTCATTGTCTTTCCAGCAAATTTGAAAAATTATAGTCTCAGTTTTGAAAAGCTTTTTTCATCCACTCATGTGATTGAGAAAGATGCTGCTGACGTCAAAGAAGAACTGGACTTAGATGCATCCATTCTGCCACTTCTACAGTTGTGTGCATTTGAGTTTAGTGTGTGGAGTTAATAAATTGTATGAAAGTAGTCAAATACGTCAGCATATTTGTAGTTATTGAGCCTAATTGATGCTATTCTGTATTTCTTGTTACCTATTGTTTACAGAATCTACTTCATTCTTCAGTTCATTTGAAGTCTTTTGGTTTTTTTAAGTAGGGCCTTCATGAATGTTAATAATCTCTTTTTTCCTGTAATAACTAAGAAGCCAATTTGAGGTCCCGTTTTAATCATTAGTTTTGATCCCTTTATTGAAAATTGAAAATTAAATTATAAAAAAAAAAAGAAAAAAGATTCCACATTGATACTCACCCAAGACAAACATTAACTCACTAAGGAATTACTATCATCTGTCAGACACCAGTGTGAAGGGGATGGACTGATTTTCTGGATTTTTTTTAACAATAAATGTGACACTTGCTTTTGTGAAAAATGTTCAGCTGTTAGGAAGATTAACCCTTCCTCTCCAGAAGAATTTGTGGGCTTATCAGGGAGAATAGTATGGTCTGAAAGTACATATAAATCTATTAAACAATCCTGCTTCAAGCATTTTTTTATTTTTTAAATATCACATGCCCTGCAGATTATTGATCTTAAGCATATGCAATGGTCCTTTTGTAATCAATCCATGAGCCATGCTGTAAAACCACATACAAGAACGTAAAGGGTAGTAATAGTAACCACCACAGCAAAAGTAAATGTCATAAAGGAATGACATAGTCAAAATAAAAAGGCTGTCAGGAAGCACCTTAATAAATCTTCTGATCCTCTGAATGTTTTCAGCTCACTTGTCATCTTTATTTTCTCCACTATAAAAGCCTAAGCTTTAAAAGAAGAGAGTAAAAAGGCAGTGTGAGCATGCTCTGCTCAATGCTTTCTTAGGCTTGTGGCAGGTCACATGGAAATAAAAGCAGCCTTACCTACAGCTGGACCTGGTTCTCCATGTCCATTCTAGACCATCTATGTCAGCAGATGCAGTGCCTGTCTGGCCAGAGGCAGGACTGGCCTGTTCTCTGAGGACCACCCAGCTGAACATGTGGCCGGGAACACAAGTGGGAAAGCGCAGGCTGGGCAGAGTGGGGCAAGCTCCATAAATCACAATGCCTGCCTTAGCACCAGCTCTGATTGCCAGCCCATCTACGCAAACCATAACAAATGAGTCCCAAAGGCAGCCCTAGCAGTGGACATTTCCAGCAGCAGAGTGCACAAGCCCTCACAACAGGGAGTTTGCCCTGCACAATGCAAGGCTAAAAGCAGGTACTGTCCCTGCAGCTCAGCTCTTTCATGGGAAACCCATCCCAGGACAAGGAGCTGGAGGTCCTGCACCGTGTTTCAAGCTCACACTGCTGCATCAGGAAGAAAACGCAGGTACAGCTGCTACAGCAAAATGCAGTTATAAGTCCCCACATTGTCGAAAAAGAAGTAAAATGAGAGAGAAGTCAAAACAAGGGAATCTGCAACTTGAAAATTATCATAAGATGATTGCAACCTGTAGGCCCATCCCATCTCATCAGGGGTATCTAAATCCTTCTCTCCTCCCCTCTCCCTACTTATTAAGGCTTAAATGCCATCTCCGAGGGCTATGCACAGTTCCCACCTCAGCTCTTGCCACAAGCTTACGTTCTCTTCCACAGATCAGGTGCAAGAGAAAAAAAAGCCATGCTGTGCTTTGGGCATCTGAGTCTTTAGCATTGCAACAGGGTAGCGAGAGGCAGACACCAATAGAGGATATGTAAAATAAATATTCCAAATCAGTATTAATCTGTCTTTAACGCTGAGGCACCTGTTCATTCAAAGGATTAAGGCATACATTTCTTTCCTCCTGCATTGTAGACTTTAGTGTGTGTTGTTGGCACAGAAATTTGGGCTAAAATTTTCACCTTCAAATAGGAGCTATTTCTGTTTTATCAGTGAAAAGGCCCAGATTACATACAGCTCAGGCTACAGAAGCACAGTTTCCACTGTCAAATTAAAGAAGGTTCAGTCAAACATGACAAAATGCTTTTTCTGTGGGCTTCACAAATATGTTTGTAAGAGAGGATGGCTTTTCAACGAACTGGAAAGGGACGCATTTAAGGCAAATGCAATAAAGCTTTGCTGCTCTGGTACTATATAGCATCCTGAAGGGATTTATCATGTCACTGGGGTAGAAAGCACTGCTTCTCTTGAAGCATTTCCTCAGACAGCCCAAGGAAATCAAGCTGCGACACACATCTGGATAGCTCTGTACTCAAATGGCATTGCATCTAGAGATGAGGAATTGGCAAGAAAAAAGCAGTAGTCCATGCACTATTACTCATTTCCGCAAATTCTCAATTCAGCAAGAACCATGACTAGTCTAAACAACTAAAGTAAGGTAAAACAGGATTTTTTTTTTGTCAACAAGTGTGGTTTTTTTCATCCCACAGACCATCCAGACAGAAATTCTTACCTGGAGATCCGTCTAAAGGACAGTTAACTAGTATTTTATTATTTGAAAAAAGCTATCCCACCATGAATCTTCAAAAAGCAGGGAAGGAAGGGTGAAACACTAGTAGCACAGCATGTTCCACTGTTTCCAATAAACTAACAGGTGTGGAAGATTAATACATTCAGAGAAATCAGAACAGCCTAAAAAATTCATCAAGCTGGATGTATTTAAGCAGCTGAAAGAGTTATTCATACAAATTAGATGTTGCTTTACTGTTTATCCCTAAAGGAATAAAGGTTTCATAACTTTGTGGGAGAAGCTGTATAGCTCTGAGACTGTAATATACATCTTTTGCAGACTGTTTTGTGAGAAGAGTTCTAATTGATAGCAGGATGGGATTCTAAGCCAGCTTTATGGGGCACTGATTTAAGTGCTGTAGGTTGTATGATGTTGCAGTTAGATAAGCTGCTCTTTGCACAGAGTTCTAGGGTCACTTCAAGTCAAAATTGTTTTTATGAGTGGGGTAAAACCTGTTTGTTAAAATACAAATATTTTTTCTGCTCAGACACAGGAGGACCTTACAGTTAGAAGTTGTCTTCTTGTTTGTGAGATATTTTTCCAGCCTTTTCAGAGCTGGAAAGAAAGAAAGTCATTTATTCTTGGCTACCTTTCTGGGGCCACACACGCTCTGCCTGTCCAGCTGCCTGCTTGCTTTGTGCTTCTTTCCACCCACAAGCTAATGCAGAGCTTCAACCAAATCAATGCCCCATTTCCTTTCTTTTTTGCAACCAATTTCCAGTGAAACCCCTCTAGCCACACGGCCGAGTTTCCAACCCAGCCTTCCTATTTTGTGTTGCACCTTGGGCGGTGACTCGTCTTGTTTCAATTACCACTAAACAAATGAGGCTTTAATTTCTCTTTCATTTCCTTTGAAAGAAAGATGATCAGCATGCCTTTCCACTTCAGTGTGGTCTGTGACTGTCCAGACTTCACACTTGCAGGCTGCCACCAGTCCTGTCCAACAACACTATATGCCTCTTGCGCATTCAGGTCAACCAGACCAAGGACAGATGTTTCTCTGGTTTTACTGCATTTTCGGCCTGGACTGAGGAGCCATTATAGGGCAAAATGGCCAACCTGCCATCTCCTTCATCTTGACATTGCTTTCTGGTTGGAAATTGTCCAATATGTTTTAATTTGAAACATGGGAGTGTATATATTCCATCCCAAACTTCGAACATAAATGTTTTCCTTTCAAACTAAATAATATACCTATTTTGCATCACTAATTGAGACATCCATGTGGATTTATTTAATTTTTCACATTAACACAGGCATAGATTTGATGGCAACAGATGAAAAAACATTCTTTATTTTACAAGCATAATATGGTTTTAATATGCTGGTATGTTTTTAATGATGCATAGCACATTTTCTTT